TTTTAAAAATTGAATAAAGCAGCTATGTATATTTTTGAATTTCCAACCGTGTCAACAACAGGTCTGTAACAATGCAAGTCCTTCGCGAGTTGTAAATATTATTTTTTATCATTTTATTTTTTTATCTCTTGGTTATTGGAATACATGTTATTTCAAATGGTATATTACATTATGTTTGTCAATATATAATGTTAATCTATTGTGATACATATTACATACATGTTGGGTAGCACATTTGTCCGTTGTAAGTTTGTATTCACATACATTCATAAAAATGCTACTTTTTTCATGCCGTTTTGAGGATGTGTATGTCATCAGCGACAGCGAGATGTATATTCCCTGCCGAGATACTTTGCATTTAGTTTGGTCTCTTTTATTCAATATGATTTTAAATCTTTTGCTGACATTATTGTTGTTTGCATCAAGTAAAGACTTGTCGCATTCACAAGGACAAAGGAGCCGAGGACAACGTGTTCGTATGCATCGACCAATCAAGAACCACGACCATGTGTACAGCGTTCAGCCAATAACAACTATAACCTACACAATGTATACAGTGTCCATCCAAGAACAGTGACTATGTATACAGCGTTCAGTCAATAACAACTATAACCTACACAATGTATACAGTGCCCATCCAAGAACAGTGACTATGTATACAGCGTTCAGTCAATAACAACTATAACCTACACAATGTATACAGTGCCCATCCAAGAACAGTGACTATGTATACAGCGTTCAGCCAAGAACCACGACCATGTGTACAGCGCTCAGCCAATAACAACTATAACCTACACAATGTATACAGTGCCCATCCAAGAACAGTGCCTATGTATACAGCGTTCAGCCAAGAAGCACGACCATGTGTACAGCGTTCAGCCAATTACAACTATAACCTACACAATGTATACAGTGCCCATCCAAGAACAGTGACTATGTATACAGCGTTCAGCCAATAACAACTATAACCTACACAATGTATACAGTGCCCATCCAAGAACAGTGACTATGTATACAGCGTTCAGCCAAGAACCACGACCATGTGTACAGCGCTCAGCCAATAACAACTATTACCTACACAATGTATACAGTGCCCATCCAAGAACAGTGACTATGTATACAGCGTTCAGCCAAGAACCACGACCATGTGTACAGCGTTCAGCCAATAACAACTATAACCTACACAATGTATACAGTGCCCATCCAAGAACAGTGACTATGTATACAGCGTTCAGCCAATAACAACTATAACCTACACAATGTATGCAGTGTCCATCCAAGAACAGTGACTATGTATACAGTGCCCATCCAAGAACAGTGACTATGTATACAGCGTTCAGCCAAGAACCACGACCATGTGTACAGCGTTCAGCCAATAACAACTATAACCTACACAATGTAAGCAGTGCCCATCCAAGAACAGTGACTATGTATACAGCGTTCAGCCAAGAACCACGACCATGTGTACAGCGTTCAGCCAATAACAACTATAACCTACACAATGTATACAGTGCCCATCCAAGAACAGTGACTATGTATACAGCGTTCAGCCAAGAACCACGACCATGTGTACAGCGTTCAGCCAATAACAACTATAACCTACACAATGTATGCAGTGTCCATCCAAGAACAGTGACTATGTATACAGCGTTCAGCCAAGAAGCACGACCATGTGTACAGCGTTCAGCCAATTACAACTTTAACCTACACAATGTATACAGTGCCCATCCAAGAACAGTGCCTATGTATACAGCGTTCAGCCAAGAACCACGACCATGTGTACAGCGTTCAGCCAATAACAACTATAACCTACACAATGTATACAGTGCCCATCCAAGAACAACTATAACCTACACAATGTATACAGTGCCCATCCAAGAACAACTATAACCTACACAATGTATACAGTGCCCATCCAAGAACAGTGACTATGTTTACAGCGTTCAGCCAAGAACAACGACCATGTGTACAGCGTTCAGCCAAGAACAACTATAACCTACACAATGTATACAGTGCCCATCCAAGAACAACTATAACCTACACAATGTATACAGTGCCCATCCAAGAGCAGTGACTATGTTTACAGCGTTCAGCCAAGAACAATGACAATGTCTACAGCGTACAACCAAGAACAATGACAATGTCTACAGCGTACAACCAAGAACAATGACAATGTCTACAGCGTACAACCAAGAACAATGACAATGTCTACAGCGTACAGCCAAGAACAATGACAATGTCTACAGCGTACAACCAAGAACAATGACAATGTCTACAGCGTACAACCAAGAACAATGATAATGTCTGCAGCGTACAGCCAAGAACAATGATAATGTCTACAGCGTATAGCCAAGAACAATGATAATGTCTACAGCGTACAGCCAAGAACAATGATAATGTCTACAGCGTACAACCAAGAACAATGATAATGTCTACAGCGTACAGCCAAGAACAATGATAATGTCTACAGCGTACAGCCAAGAACAATGATAATGTCTACAGCGTACAGCCAAGAACAATGATAATGTCTACAGCGTACAGCCATGAACAATGATAATGTCTACAGCGTACAGCCATGAACAATGATAATGTCTACAGCGTACAGCCATGAACAATGATAATGTCTACAGCGTACAGCCATGAACAATGACAATGTCTACAGCGTACAGCCATGAACAATGACTATGTATACAGCGTACAGCCAAGAACAACGGAGCCAAGAACAAGGACTATGTTTACAGCGTACAGCCAAGAACAAGGACTACGTACACCGCGTACAGCCAAGAACAAGGACTACGTACACAGCGTACAGCCAAGACCAAGGACTATGTATACAGCGTACAGCCTTGAACAAGGACTACGTACACAGCGTACAGCCAAGAACAAGGACTACGTACACAGCGTACAGCCAAGAACAAGGACTACGTACATAGCGTACAGCCAAGAACAAGGACTCTGTATACAGCGTACAGCCAAGAACAAGTACTACGTACATAGCGTACAGCCAAGAACAAGGACTCTGTATACAGCGTACAGCCAAGAACAAGGACTACGTACATAGCGTACAGCCAAGAACAAGGACTCTGTATACAGCGTACAGCCAATAACAAGTACTACGTACATAGCGTACAGCCAAGAATAAGGACTCTGTATACAGCGTACAGCCAAGAACAAGGACTACGTACATAGCGTACAGCCAAGAACAAGGACTCTGTATACAGCGTACAGCCAAGAACAAGTACTACGTACATAGCGTACAGCCAAGAACAAGGACTCTGTATACAGCGTACAGCCAAGAACAAGGACTCTGTATACAGCGTACAGCCAAGAACAAGGAGTACGTACATAGCGTACAGCCAAGAACAAGGACAACGTACATAGTGTACAGCCAAAACAAGGACTATGTATACAGCGTACAGCCTTGAACAAGTACTTCGTTTACAGCGTACTGCCAAGAACAAGGACTACGTATACAGCGTACAGCCAAGAACAAGGACTACGTACATAGCGTACAGCCAAGAACAAGGACTCTGTATACAGCGTACAGCCAAGAACAAGGACTCTGTATACAGCGTACAGCCAAGAACAAGAACTACGTACACCGCGTACAGCCAAGAACAAGGACTACGTATGTTACTTCAACCCAAAAAACAAAATCTCCGCGTGAGGCGTCAATCCAAATAAATTGACTACGTCTACATCCCCAGGTCAACAACAGCTAATACTTACGGAGTGCTTTGCCAAGAACAGCGGGGAGTACACAGGATCAAACTGTATGCATTATTAATCGTGCAATGAACATCTGACTTATCACAACACTGTCTGTCGAGTTTCCCTAATGATTCCAGCCTCAAAAAATTGACTTCACTTTGGCTTTTACTAATTGGCCTTTGTGGACGTTTCCAGGACATTGATTCTATTTCTTTTGCTGATTGAACATCATTTGATATTAATATCATGCTCGGTATGGGCTGGCCATGAAAACAACTAAGCCCTGAGCAAGATTAATCAGAAGAAATCAATCATCATACACCGCCTAAGCACAGAACACGCAAATGAAGGCAATCGCTCTCGGGCGAATATGTTTCTGTCTATAAAAGAACTCTTTGAATTCTTTTTTCGAAATAGTGAGTTTAAATTCGTTTGCGTTGCCTGATTAAATTACCAGAGAATTTTCTCTCACATTGTTGTTGATGCTTTTAAAGGGTCCTAAAAGTGAATATATATAGGTTTTGTTAGTGTTACAAAGATAATCTAATGGTCACATATGGATGAATATCATGATGTAGGAATAGCTGGGCATGTTTATTGTGATCGATAAGCAACATGTGTTTTTTTCTCTGCGAAACAAGTTGGCCATCAATTAGCCATGCAAGACATCTGTACAAGATACATGCAACATCAAGAACAGGCGATCCCACACGGCGCACACCTACGTGCATCGTCACAGATAATCGTTCTATTGAGGAGTGGCGGGGTCGTTTATTTATTTATTTATTTATTTATTTTCGTTGAATCGCTCGTGTTCACGTGAGCTCCTACTAAGTGTAAACTGCAAAATGTGGTTCCGTTTTAAAACAACTAAAACTGAAGGAAACATCACAATTTGACATTTATGACGGTTCATTAATAATCATATCTTACGTTACACACTACAGGCAGAGCGTTCTGTTAGCGACATTCCCCTGGTCCCGCATGTGTCAAAACTAATCTCGAATGGCGACGGTGTAAGCGAAATGTGTACTGTGGTGAATCGGTTTTCCGTAATAACAAATGTTTAAATCAAAATCTTATGGTATTAAGATCGGTTGGCATATATACGATAAATCTTGATATGATTTCTTTATGAAGTTCGTTAATATTAAGTCATTTTAGACATCACAAACATGGGTGTGTACTTTCTTTTGGCTTGTAGTTTATATACCCACAGAATACATCTAGTCTGAATGCGATACACGTTTTCACTGAAGCTTCATTAACCAATGTTAATAACCACTTACCTGTCAAAACCCATGTAAGGATGAATGTAACGAATACCCAGTCAGCTCCCGACACTGTCTTCATGGTTCATCCCGTATCCATGAACACTGCTCCAGTAATCCGTTACCCGTCACACTGTCGAGGAGTTCACAATAGCATGCACTGATGAAGATCTATGTTCTGCCTATCATTGTGTACCAGCACACATCAAAGAGATACTGCATGTGGCTGATGTAGCCTATTTCGTCCTTAACACCTGGCGTCGCTGTGCTGTAGATAAGGTGTGGCCAGTGCCTGGGGGTTTGTTTGGAACACCTTGCGGAGTAGGACACTGTGTACGTACACTTTGAATGCTGTCTCATCGATTTCCACCACCAAGGACTTTATTGACCCATGAGTCTGGTCGACCAACAGTTGTTACCAGTTCCAGGTGAAAATAATCAAATATTGAATAGAGAAAATATTGGACGCTGTGTAAATCATTAAGATCAGCTTAATTTCCAGTGGCGCGTGCAGTCACGAACAAAGAAGCAAATTATACGAGGCTACACGACTAGGGTACATTCACGGCAAGGCTTCTCGATGCTGAACCCCAAAGTCTGTGTAAATGCCAATGTATGTACAATACTCCTTTGTCGTCGCACCATTTGTGAAGGCGAGAGTCCTCCCGTCACAACTCCCGTCTCATATCTTCAAAAGCCTCGACTGATCCAAGAGAACATTCCCGTCCTTCTATTTCGGACAGTCCAGCCCCTGGTCAAGATGGACAAACATGTATCACATAGATCTATCAGTCCACCTACGGCTGCAATTGTCTTTAAAGTCTCTTTCCGTCAACAACTCTTCTAACGGTAATCCCTCGTCGGCCTGAATAACACAGCCACGTCCTTCTTCGGGGCAGTTGATCGACTGATTGCCGATCTACAGAACAGGCCTTGAGACCAGACGCATTGAGGGAATGAGATAGTTAGTGGCGAAAACATGGTCCGGGCATTCGAGGGTAATCAGCCATTCATATCGCTAGGAATATTTACAGCCTATGTAAGAAGACCACGAGGCTCGCGAAGGTTTAATGGTGTTGAATGACTTGACAGTTGGGCAAAGGTGTACGTCATCATTTAGAGTGGTGGTGTGTCTACATTCATGGGACTTTTTGACACTGCTGATGACGAATAGATGACAAACTTTGCCTCATAAATGATTAAAAAGGGTATTTGACGAATTGTGAAACAATTGTCAAAAATAAATGTATATTTTTTGGTTTGGTGTTACTGACATGGGAATACAAATTAGCTTTTTAGGATCCATCTACATATTTTATGGTTTGAATATGTCTTGTTTTTTAATTACGTTGGCAGGTCGAAATAAAAATTAAAGTGTGTCGCTCCATATTTTTCTTATTTACTTGTTTGGACTCGTCGATCCAGTGTAAAAAAGAATCGTTTTGAGTCTATTGATGTCTGGTTTGTTTACATGCAGCTGTCGTATGGCGGGAGTACTTCACTGTGGCGCCTGGCAACGAACAAACACTTTTTTTAATGCAAATTCTGTGATAGGCGGGTGCTACCGGTACGCTAGGACATGCTGACCCCTCACGCGAACATCTGGTGTCATTAATGATTTTCAGTGATCAATCCATATAATTTTACGGCTATTTTACCTTTAACGCAGTCTGTTTTGGCGGATAATCGAGGCTGGCTGATGTTTTATATCTATGCCACTCAAAATATGTTAAGAACCACCCCACATTTTTATATCACCACAGTAAACCTGTCTGAGTAGTACATAAGTGCAGGATGGTAACATTTACATGCACAGTGTATGTACTTATGACTGATTACCTGTGAAGATCCGGGGTAGAATAGGTCTTCAGCAACCCATGCTTGCCGTAAAAAGGCGACTTGTAAGAGTGAGAGATACTTGCTTGTAAGAGGCGACTAACGTTGGTTGGTTTGTTTCTTGTTTAACGCCGCATTCAGCAATATTCCAGCTATAAGACGGCGGTCTGTAAATAATCGAGTCTGGACCAAAAATCCAGTGATTGATATCATGAGCATCGATCCAAACAATTGGGATCGATGACATTCATCAGAGAAAGTCAACGAGCCTGACCACCCGATCGCGTTAGTCGCCTCTTACGACAAGCATAGTCGCCTTTTACGGCAAGTATAGGTTGCTGAAAACCTATTCTACCTCGGATTTTCACGGGGCGAACCGGGATTCGAACCTACAATCATGGCATGCCCAAGGGACGCAACTCTGCACAGCAAATCGTGGCGCCGTAGACGATTCGAATTGGAAGTATTGAAGGTCGGTCCAGTAACGTACAAGATGTTGAAATATGATTATGAGTGAGCGAATATGGTTTTACGCCACCTTTAGCAATATTCCAGCAATATCCCGGCGGGGGACACCAGAAATGTCGGGAATCGAACCCGTGTCTTCGGCGTAACGATCAAACGCTTTAACCAGTAGGCTACCCCACCGCGCCGAAATATGTTTATGATTGTGAAATTTACATGATGTATACTTAATATTGAACGCTGAATTTTAAAAATAAGAAAAATACAAATTCTAATAGCCTTAACATTTGCAGAGTAACTTTATATTAATAAATGTGTACCGAAACGATTACTTTCGTTTCTGTTATCTTAGAGTTAGCACCCTTTGGTCGGAGATTAATATCCATTGATCAAATACCACCAGGCCCTAAAGAATTCGTCCCCAAGGCAATGATGCTGATGGTTGGGAAGATAACATTGTTATGAAGCGATGTTACATCATTTTCCCCAATACATTTATCAAATACTGTCTAAAGATTCTAAATATGCCATATTATCGATTTGCTCGAAAATATTACAGTACGAGGTTGACATATGAAAATAACGCTGGTGAAACTTGAGCATTTAATGTGGAAAACCCGCCCTACAGATGTGATTGAGGTTATTTTTGGAAATATTAATGTGCACCAAATTATTGAGAACATTTTGGTTGATATGTACTTCAGTAGTGGTCTTCTTATATGGAGTCATCTTGTACATATTGCTATTATATGAAACACAATCCATTATTAATTATGTAATGAAAGTTATTTAGCTGGTGTGAATTTGAAGAAGTACATGCTATATCAGTATCACAATTTAGGTGACGACTGTACCAATAGTTTGAGTACCAATGTGATTAAAATGCATTACATTGAAGAATTTAGTGTTTTTTAGTGTGTAAAAAATATATACATAACAACTACTTTCCTTTACCTTAGTATAATGTATTTCCTAATAGTGATATATGTCTGTCGACCGCCTCCGTGGTCTAGTGGCATGGTAGAGCGTCCGCCCGGGGAGCGGAAGGTCCGGGGTTCGATCCCCAGCCGCGTCATACCAAAAGACGTTAAAAGATGGTACTTGTTGTTACCCTGTCTGGCAATCGGCATTAAGGGGCTAAAAACAAGGACTGGTCGGCTCGGAGTCAGTATACTGTGTCTGAGTAGGGTATTCATGTTAAACTGCGGCATGGTATCTCAGTGAGCTAGCACTATAAATCGGCATTAGTCCGGACTAGTACAAGCAGCCGCATTCACACACACACCGACACACGTACATGCACGTCGCTATATAAGAGCAATAATCTTGGACGCGACGTTAAACCCCATGTCTGTCTGTCCGTCCGTCCGTCTGTCTGTCTGATATCACAGCTACTCCACGGCGGCTCTCATGTAGCCTAATATGGATCAGATACACAACTGGTTGACTGAGGAGTTGCGTCCCTTAGTTATGCCAAGTATCCTATGATATCATGGGTTCGAATGTGACATATCCGTGCCCCTTATTATATAAGTGGTAAACGCCGTCATAAACTACATTATCTCCCTAACTTGACAACAAACATCTTCGGGGTACAAGGACTTTGGCCATCCAATCCCCATTTGGTCTAATGAGCAAAGATCAGTATGTTGGTTGATGTCGTTCGAGGCAGCCATCAGTAGCTATATCACATCGTTCTGTAAATAATCGAGTCCAGTCAAAAGGTTGATCCTATGAGCAACACCCCATGCTGTGGGGGTGCGATGACACGCAGTAACTCGCGTCATCGGGTCAGACCACCCATCCAGTTAGTCACGTATTACAACAATACGTTACTGGGTACCTATCCTGGTGCTCATGCTGTCGATCACCTTGGACAGATTCAGTTATTTACAGGCGCCATGGTATATCTGAAATATTGCAGTATTTACTCACGTCGATATGTATTTAATTATAATCAACCAATAACAGACACATTGACCATACACATTCAGGGATACGGGTTTCCCAGTCGTCAAAGGCTCCGCAATTCGCTGTTCAGAGTTGGGTCCCTTGGACAAGCCAGGAACCTATGATGGTTGTTTCGAATCCATGTTCCCCCGATTATGTTTCCAGGTTTGTCAGCACCGTACCAGCACTCAAAGTGGTAAACATCTGAGAACTGCATCACTTCGGACTTAGCTCCCACATTAAGCTTACACGCCGTGATGTAACTGAAATACCATTTCAAAGCGGCGTTTAACCCAACTCACTCACTCATACACATTTATTAAGTGTTGCATAATAGATTAATATAAATATGCCCCTGTGTTGATAATAATTCGGTTTAGGTAACCTTGTGCACACAGAAACATTAAAATTACGTTGTTTAAATTAATGAAATCAACATACAAATATCAATTGTTCAGATGATAGATGTGTGTGCATGGATACATATTATTTCATCGACATGGTAACCATCAACCCAGCAATAAATATGATACTTTCGAAAATCAGTCACTAGAATTCCATTGGCAATTGCGGTGTAATTATTCGTCTTGGCAACGAGAATCTGTCTGATACCTCTCGAGAGAGCAAAAACCACTTTCCATTACTTGGTAAACACGACAAACATTAGACCGTACTTTACGTCCCTGAGTTAACACCTCATGGTGACGATATCCGACTCAAGGGATCTGAGCCGCGGGACTGAACCAATCAGCTCTCGATGAACGATACAACATTATCTTGGTTAGTCATGAATAGTTCATGAGGTAAAGCGGCCGCAAGACATCACCATTAAAGCCTTTTTATCATAAATCTAAGCGTTATGAAGCTATAAACACTACGTCTTCGGGGCATCCAAAATGAAACGTCGACAAAGGGAGGTAAGTGATGTTGGGTGTAACGTCACATCGAGCGAAATGGTGTCTTTTGATGGCAGTTAATATTCTTGGTTGGGTTTATTTTATTAGCGTCTGACATTTGCTCACGACAATTAGATAGGTGAAGAGGCTGTTTACTTGATAATTGTTAGTTTACAAAGGACAAAGGTAATGTTTTGGGTGAACTTTGCGTACCGGGGAAGCGGTAGCGTTCATGAAGGTCATGTCAGAGACAATGGTAGCTTTGGTTGTGTGACAAGAACGTACGTACATTTCCAAAATTAATATATGATATAAACATATTTATTTCCATAAAGTCGAGGGATTGGCAAACAAACAAATGTTGCTTATCTGAATGCCTCTCCCAAAAATTAATATATCTGTATCACGTTTGTGAAACTCTGATGTAACGTCTTCGCACGTGATGATTTACCGTTGTTGGCGTAGATCCCCCTGTAAAATCCCCGTTCTTCAGTTGTTATAGATGTGCAAAAATCTTGGACGCGACGTTCAACCCCATTTCACCTGTCATTTTATGGTATTGGACGACAAGTTCATACCACGTAGCCCTCAATACAGTGTTAATCATATTTATGTATAATGGTGAAGTGTAAATAGTCCCAGTCATTGCTACTTGGGGCTGTGGGGTAGCTTAGTGGTTAACGCGTTAGCTCGACACGTCGAAGACCCGGGTTCGATTCTCCACATAGGTACAATGTGTGAAGCCCATTTCTGGTGTCCCCCGCCGTGATATTACTGAAATATTGCTAAAAGTGGCGTAAAACCAAACTCACTCAACTTCCTATGGAATACTGTAAGGGACATTCTCGCGATCTCGCGTTCTCGCGATCTCGACCTTTGGAAACGAACTAGATATGCCCAAAACACGAGAATGCGAGATCGCTAGAACGC